ATGGTTGCCTTTCGTGCATCCCTTGCTAGGAACTGGCCTGCAACCCAGGCATGTGCCCTGACTGGGAATCGAACCGCGATCGTCTGGTTTGCAGGCCTGCGCTCAACCCACTGAGCCACACCAGCCAGGGTGGATATAGAAGGACTTTTTGATGGATAAAAATAAAGATAGAAATCATCACACAGGAAAACCTTAATAGATTTAAATACTCAAAAAATAAACATCTATAACATTCTGAAAAAAATCATTAATCCCGTAGGTTAGGTAGCGAATGGTAAAAGAATGTGCCACGTATATGATAGCAAGTAATGTCCCTAACATAAAAAGTGAGAAAAACATCAACGTTCTATGTGGGTACATAGACAGCTCATTAAAGAGGAAATTTAAATGAGTGATATAAATTGGAAAAGAACATTTAACACCTAAAACTAATAGAAAAGAATACTGAGTGGCAACTGTAAATTTTTTTTCAAATTTAAACTCATTACTGTCCAAATAAATGCAAAATGAAGTTGACATTTTCTACCCATTCACTTAGTAAACTTTTAAAACTGAAAACCCATCACTGGTGACGAGAATGAAAACTCAGACTCAGCTCAGGGGTCTGGCGATACAGCCTCCTCCTGGGTGTGAGCCAGACGTTTTACTTCAAGGCACTTTTCCTGAGGAAATCATTCAGAATACCAAAGCTTATGAAAAGTGATACTCATAGCAGCATTAGTTATAATAAAAAGTGTCATTGACAAAACTGTCTTGAGGGAGGGTTGCATAACCAAAATAACCATCGTCAAGGTCAACCCAGTGTCCACCTCGAGCCAAAACGTACAGTTCACCAAGCCCCTGAACAATCCTTTTACGTCAAGTCCATTATCACGCCCATTTTACAGAACCTCAGGACAGACTGCCCTCGCCGTGCCCCGCCCCATCCGGGAGTGGTGGAGACAGACATTTCCACCCTGGCTCCGTCCAGCTCCCAAGGCCATCTTGTAGGCAGTTAGAAACAACGACAATCAAGAGGATGTATTTAACAAAGTCGGGACATGTTTACAATATGATGCTAAATGAAAAAGGAGGACCCAGAATCACTATGCTTTTAAGAGGAAAGAGTGCAAATTGTTGCAAAATGCAGAGAAGGAGGGACTCTGAGAAGGAAAAAGTTGGGAGAGAGAGGCCATGGCAGCAGTGCAGGCAGGGGTGCGGGGTGAGGAGTGAGGGTACTGCGGCCATTCCAGAGAATGGGGCCTTGGCCCCATTCCAGAGGCCTTGGCTGGCCTCCCCCAGGCTCCTGGGGTGGGAGCTAGGCCACACAGAGACCACCATCTGGCGCAGTTGTGCAGGCACACGGGTGTCTCAACCAGAGCTCCCTGCCCCGCTGGGGAAGGTAAGGCCACAGTGCCCTCCAATGCTGACAAAACAGCCAGCGGCACCCGCTTTCAGGGACAGAACTGAAATCAGATGAGTTCTGAAGGTCAAGGGAGCCAGGAAGAATATCTCAGGAACCTGAAGGGCACTTGGGAATGGCAGCAGAGGACCCAGGATCAGCGGTGGCCTCCCCTCCTACCTTGCAGCCTCCACCATGCAGGACTTGGTAACCAGTGGTGAAACTAAGACAAAGAGAGGCTAACTCACTAGTCTGAACTGTGAATTCACAGGTTGTTTGTCAAAGGTGCTCTGCGCATGAGTGCAGGTGGCGCCCCTCCCAGGCAGAGTGCCTCAGGTTCCCAGGGCAGGGCAAGGCAACACCCAGAACCAGAGCTACCTCTTGCAGCACTGTCTTATTCCAAGAAACATCTGCTGCATTGGAGGAAAACATCCTTAAGTGTGTCAAAGCCGAAAGATAGAAGGAATATTGTTTTTCCCTTCCCCTGAAATGAAATCCCTTAACTAGGAGCTTCTCAAACCCCAATCCCAAAGAATTGGACCCTAAATTTAGATTGTCCTTGGAAGGTCACCGGATAACCCTGGTTCAGGGTCAGCCAGCAGCTGCTCAAGATAACTTTGCTTTTCTGCTGACTCAGGCCTTTCCCTGACACAATTAATGAGATCCTGCTGCACTTCCCCTGGGGAAGAGAACAATGGCTGTAGATGAGCAGGTGGCCTTGGCTGGTACGAGCCCATTGCCACAGATCGGGGACTGACATCCCTACCCAGCCCCTGGGCCCCCACTGAACTTGGTTCGCAGGCCTTGGTCCACTGTGCAGCCCCAGCCAAGCCAAGCCCACTTCTATCTGTCCCTTGAGGCCCTGCCCCTGCCTACCTCTGGGTCTTGGCTGAACTGTCAGCTCCTCGGGGAAGCCTTCACTCTTGCACCACACGGCTCTCTCTTTCCCAAGGCCACAGCCCACCTGCGAGGGCCTTACCCAGTTACCACTAGAGGGTGGGAGCTGCCTGTGTTGTGCGCCACTAGAGAATGTGCTTGGTGCACAAATAAGTAGTCAGGAGATCCTCTTGAGTGGAAGAAAGGGTGGGCTGTCTTCATGCCTCCTCTCCCCACACCCCCTTCTCCAACCCCACCCCCAGGTCTGGGCTGGGCTGGGCCTCTCTGTGGAGGCTCTTGCTCCACAGTGGGCCGGGGCTACAACCAGTTCAGTGGTATTGAGGTAGAAATCAGATTGTGATAGGTAGAACCTGACACCCCCAAGATACTGTGAGGCTGTCCCCAAAGAGTCGTAGGATTGCTGGGGGTACCATGGGATGCCAGGCAGGAGGTGGGCCCCACGATGGGCCCCAAAGTGGTAGAGAGAGGGAGGAGGGAAGGCGAAGGGGGAGAGCCTCATGCATCTGCACCCCAAGTTGGCCAGAGGGGCAGCAAGCAGCCCCCTACCCGGTACAGGTGCATGAATATGGCCACTGTGTTGAGATTCATTCCTAGATACTAGTGAGGAAAACTAACAAGCAGATGGACAGTTGCAGCTTGGGCCTCTGGAGCAAGGTTAGGAGATGGGGCAGAGAGGCGTCTAAGAGCAAGTGACCTCGGCAACACAATGTAGACGGATGAGCAGGCCCCAAGCCAAGGGATGTGCACTGCAGGCAGAAGAGGCTGTGGGTGAGAGACAGACCAGCCTGGGGCCTGGAGGGAGGGGAGCCTGGGTGGAGCAGAGAGTGTGTGCTGCTGGACTGATCAGGCCCAGCGTAGCCAGGCAGATGTCGCCCTGGGCCACTCCCAGGAGTCAGCACTCTGTCCATGGGCAGTGAAAGCCATGGAGGGTTTGAAACAGAGTGTGAGCCAGGGGAGGAGCCTGCTGGGGTGGCCCAGCTGCCCTGAGGAGAACAGACCCAGAGGGGTCTGGGGCCCAGACGACCTGAGGCAGGGCAGCTATCCTGGGAAGAAAGCAGTGTAGAGTGTGGGGGGGGGGGGGACCCTGGGCAAGGTCCCTAAATTTGGGCTGGTGGGGAGCAGGATTGTGAGGGTGGGGTGAGTGGTGAGTGGTACAGGTGCAGTGGATGGAATAGGGGATGTCCAGGACGGTCTGCAGGGTGGAGGGGGAGAGTCCAAAGGTTTGTAGCAGGAGCATAGCAGCCTGGTAGTTAGCAGCTAGAAGGAAGCAGTGGTTCTTGGTGCTGGGAGGTGAGGTGGGGATAAGGAAGGGGATAAAACACATCCCCCACATCCCACTCCTGCCCACAGGGCCCAGCAAAGTTGCCTAACCGCCCCATGCTGGAGGAACAGGGTATTGGCCTTATCTCAGAGCCACCTGAGGAAGGAGAAGGGACAGCTTTGTCAAAGTTCCCAGGCTGTGGCTGGCCTCAACACACTAGGTCTTCTCTGTGGAGAGTCCTCTAGCAGAGCCAGGCGTACCAGGGGCCCCAGTCCAGGACCAAGTAGACTGTGCTGGAAACAAAGGGGCTCACAGGGAGTGGGAGGGGGCTGCCAGAATGGAGCTGGTGACCCCATGGGTTGTGGCCTACGGGGCCTGGTGCCCCACCTGAGCCTAGGGGGGCCCCAGTATTCAACCCGTTGGGCCTTTCGAGAAACTGCTGGGCCATTGTGCAGAAGAATGCCCGGAAATCCCGCACCTCCCTCCTCCAGCGAGGATGGGGGCTCTTCCTCCTGGCCAGGAAACTCCAAATTGACTTCTGGAGGGCGGTCTGGGGGCTGGGGTGCCAGGGTTAGCACTGGTGGGAGGGTAGAGCACACACCCTCTGTCCCTTTGTGTCTCCCCTGTCTGAATGCCAGAGGGGGCCACCGGCTGCTCCTGAGAGGACAGCCTGTATACTGGGTCATTGGGGAACACTGGGGACTTCCTAAAGTGGTCTCGCCTAAGCTAGGCCTCCCAGGATGGGGGGATGGGAAGCATCTCAGGAAGAGGAGCGGTCAGTGCGAAGGTTGGGAGGTCTGGAAAGTCTCTGCTGCAGGGGCAGAGTCAGGGTCTTCTGAGAGAGACCGTGTCTGTGCCGCCTGCTTTGTGTTGGGGCCTGAGAGCCGGTGGGCAGTGGTGCTGGGCAGGACCTTGGACGAGGCAGGAGGCCAGCATGACTCGCACAATCCTGCCGGGTCTCTCAGTTTGCGGGAGAGACAGCGCCACGTCTTAGAGGGGCACTGAGCAGTTAGGATGAGGTAAAAGAGTCTGAGTCGGGCTTCGACTCTAGGGCAAGCTTCCTGAAGGAACGAGACGAGCTGTGCTTGGCCGCGAGAGTCCCCCACGCAGTCCTCTGCATGGTGGTGATGGTAGGGACTCCTGCAGAACTTGGTCAAGGAAGAGGCCCGAGGGTAGAGGCCATCACGCTCGTTCCGGGAAGTGGAGGGGAAAACTGGGGATCACGTTGCTCCTGAAATGGTGAGGCAGGGACGGGCACGAAGGTGGCCCAAGCGGCGCGAGCGCAGCGCCCCCTTCCCGACTCCGAACGCGCTCGGCCTGGACTAGAAAACCGTGGGTGAGGGATCGGGGGCGGTGGCCGTGAGGGGCGTGGTTCCGGCATCCTCCGCTATCACCACGAGCAGTTATTTTCTTACCTGCCGGATGCTACGGTGTTGGCGCCATGATTGGCTGCGGGCTGATGGCTCGTGCGCCGATTGGCTGCTTGGACTCCGCGGCCGAGCCCGAGTCCGCCCCCCGAACCTTCAAATAAGTAGGACCGCGGGAGGTCCGAGCAGACGCGAAACTGTGCTGTAGGCGAGTGGGGCGATCTGACGGAGTGCAGTGAGCGGTTCGCGCCGGCTCAAAGGTAGCAGGATCCACTGCCGAGCCCCCTGCGGAGGTTCCGGGGCCGTCGGGTGCGCGTCTCACCTCCAGACATGGGGTCAGCGGCGCTGGAGATCCTCGGCCTGGTGCTGTGCCTGATAGGCTGGGTGGGCCTGATTCTCGCCTGCGGACTGCCAATGTGGCAGGTGACTGCTTTCCTGGATCACAACATCGTGACGGCGCAGACCACCTGGAAGGGGCTGTGGATGTCGTGCGTGGTGCAGAGCACAGGGCACATGCAATGCAAGGTCTACGACTCGGTGTTGGCGCTGAGCACCGAGGTGCAGGCGGCGCGGGCGCTCACAGTGAGTGCCGTACTGCTGGCGCTCGTCGCGCTCTTCCTGACCCTGGCGGGCGCTCAGTGCACCACCTGCGTGGCCCCGGGTCCCAGCAAGGCACGTGTGGCTCTTACAGGTGGCGCGCTGTACGCGCTCTGCGGGCTGCTGGCGCTTGTGCCGCTCTGCTGGTTCGCCAACATCGTGGTCCGCGAATTCTACGACCCGAACGTTCCAGTGTCGAACAAGTACGAACTGGGTGCTGCGCTGTACATTGGCTGGGCAGCCTCAGCGCTGCTCATGTGCGGCGGCGGCCTCGTGTGCTGTGGCGCCTGGGTCTGCGCCGGCCGTCCGGACCTCAGCTTCCCTGTCAAGTACTCGGCGCCGCCGCGGCGGCCCACGACCAGCGGCGACTACGACAAGAAAAACTATGTCTGAGGGCGCTGGGACGGAGGAGCCTCTCCTGCCAGCCGCGCTCACAAGCCGGAGGACTGGCCAGGGAGCCCTGCATGGACGGAGGCCTCCGCTGGGCTACGCCGCGCACTGGCTACGCGGAACGCATCCCACCAACGGAACCCTTCTCGGGCCCGCAGCCCGTCCGCTCCGACTGTCACTCGCTGGGCATTAGGTGGTGCTCTGCCCTGAAAAGGCAACGCGCACTTGCTCGGTTTCTTTTCTGTGGGGAGTGCTGGCTCCGATGAGGGTAGGGTGCGGGTTCCTTGGCTGTATGAGCACTGGACTAAAGATGCCACTTTTCTCCCTGTCCCTCGTGGTCTTGGACGCCACTGTACTTTTCCAGCGGCTCCTGCTGATTCCAGAGGGACAGACTGAGGTGCCTGAAGGTTGTGTACAGCTGGCCTTTACCCCATCAGCAGGGCCTGCGCCCAGGGGTCCAAGAGACTTGGTTTGGAGCTACCTCCCTCAACCCTGCAGCTCTCTGGGCCCACAACATCTGAGCGTGAGGCCGGGGCCCTGCTCTCCTTCAGTTTGGGGGAGGGTAAGAATTTGTTTAGTAAATGGTTTGAATACTTTCCCACCTGTGTTCCGTTGTTTGTCCATCCAGTCACCACCTGTGTCCAGCAGCTCCCCCACCCCACCCCCAGACTCATCCCTGAAAGGCCCTTGCGAGGACCTCCCACAGCTGTCTCTGGAGTCCATAAACCCCCCCCCCCACAGCCTTTTGTTGGGTCCTCCCTGCCACCTGATCACACTGGGTCAAAAACAGCCACAGCTGTTTCCTACCCAGGAAGGTGCTGTAGTCAGATCCGGAGTCATGGAACCTGGGAGAGGATGGAGACCCCAGCAGAGGGTGTGCGTTGGACCCCCTCCTCCCCAAGCAGTGTGTGGTGGGCTTGGGATGTAGGAAGTGCTGAGGGCGCCTTGCTTAGAAGAGGCTGGGCTCCATGGAGTGGGGGTAGGGGGAGCTTCCACCTGCCCTCTCAGGGCTTGCCTAACTCTGGGTCACATCAAATGGCCAGACATCTGCACAATGCAAACGGAGCTCTTTCTCCCTGTGTGCAATGAGAACGGACAAATCCAGAATGTGTGCTGGGCTCCGGCAGAGCTAGCTGCAGGTTGGCAAGTATGTTGCCATGGGGAAGAGGCCCCATGGCCAATTATTGCCTGGAGAGTGCCCAGGCCCAGGCCCAGCCCCTCTGCCTGGACTCTTCTGCCAGTCTTCTGTGCAGCTATGCCTAACCTGAGGGCCATCCCAGACTCGTGCCAGCCATCAGCATCTGCTAAGAGCACCCCGTGTGACCGCCCTCTGGTGGGAGGGACCCCTGGGAGCCACACTGGCCCCAGTCAGGTACCTGGGGGTAGGGTTCCCAGATCAGAACCAGACCTGTTACAGCAACTGAGAGCTCATTGCCTCCAGCCCTGTTCTAGGCACTTGAAATCAATGTATTTTTACCTTCTGCCAAAATCTAGGGCAGAGAAGCAGTGGATGGGAGCAAGGGAGGCATTCTAAGCCTGGTCAACAGGGAAGCTTGGCCATCTGTCCCCAACACCGGCTTCAGGGGCTCTGTCCAGAAATGCCAGGCTTGGTCAGGCTTCTTGGGTGGGTGGTGGGGGAGAGAACTCGAGGACATGGGCTTGGAGAGACTGCGGCAGAGCCAGTGAGTGGGACTTCCAGGAAGGATGAAACATCTGGTGGTCTGAGCTCCCCCAGCAGAGGACCTCAGCAGCGCCCCATGGCAGTCCCACCTGGCCTGTGCAGTGGGTCTCAAGGATCGCTCCCGAGTGCAGGAGTCTGCCACCCTGGTCCTTGCAAGGCCGCGCCTGCCTGCTGGGGCCCGCTAATACTGGCTATGGGGTATCTGACTAGGAGCAGTCTGTATCCCACACAAACCCATAGCCCTCCGACTTTTTCAGCTACCATTCATCAGCTGGCATTCTGAAAGGTGCCATAGGTGCCAGGCTGCTGCTTCTGAACAGCCTCCACCACTCATGGGTGAGGGCAGGTGCACAGCCTTGGATTTTGCATACAGCCAAGGTAGGCAGCTTGAGGGTAAGCCCTGACCGCTCATGCCAAGAACAGCAGGAGCAAACTCTGCTGCCAGAGGTCAGGGCTGGCCGCCACTGCTGCCAACCTCACTGTACCAACCACCCCTTCCCAAGGGCTGCCTTGAGACCTGGGCACATCTACCCACACCCTCAATTCCAGGCTCCCCACAAACCTCTCCCCACAACTGAGAGCCCACCCAAACCACTCTTCCTCCACCTGCCCTCAACTTCAGGAACTGCACCCAGGTGGCCATGTCTTTCCAGCCTGTCACCGGTGACTTGTATGAACAGCTCTCTCCTCCCCTGAAACAGGTGAGGTACCAGACAGACCTCCCAAAGGGCAGGAATGAATGCGAGCAGGGAGCATCCTCGCCTCCAGATCAGGCTCCAGAGACATCTGGGATAGTGGGACCGGCTGATCCCATGGCTCCCCTGAGAATTATTCCTGTTCTGAAAACTTATGAGGTTGCCGCAGTCCTGTCCAGCTTGGACATTCTGTGACCAAGACACAAGTGAAGCTGACCTTGGGGTCACTGTGTCTGCATCAGGGCAGGGAGCACTCAGCCAGCCCTTCCTGGCCTGGGGCCCCGCTGTGTGCCTGTGGGGCCAGTGGTGTATGGACAGATAGGTACTGGAGGGTAAGATGACATGATCAAGTTGAACTTGAGATGCTGTCAAGGATAGGAGGACAGGAGGAAGTGGCGAGAGGGTAGACAGAGCCAGGTTCTGGCTGGCACCGCTGGGAAGTGGTCAGCGCAGGTGCTGGGTGCTCCACGTGCTCAGGGGCCTGGCCTCTGCCCATTGCCGTCCTGACACGCCCCACTCATGCTGATTTCCTGCTGGGCCCAAGGGCGTTCAGGGCACAGGAACAAGGCTCCTATGAACCCACAGAAGGCTCAGGGCACAAATAAGTGCTGGCCCTGTGACCAGAGCAAAGGATGGGGCACTGAACCTAAAATAAGCATTTTATTCCATTAAAAACCACTGTCCCTACATTTAAAACTATGCCCATAACTTATAATCTAAATAAAAGCCTATTAATATAAATACGGAGAAGGTGGTCATTTCTGAAGAAATCCAACTCTAGAAAAGAAAAAAAGAAAGACATTTCAAACATTTCTGACTGTGAACACATTGCCCCAACCTGCCCCCCGCCATGTGCCAGGCTGCTGCTTCTGAACAGCCTCCACCACTCATGGACGAGGGCCACCCCAGAACTACCAAGGCGCCTGACCCTGCTGTCCTCACTGCACCTCCTGGCCAGGTCTAGGCTGTCATTTCCTTGACAACCCCTGAAGGCCTCCTGGACTCCCAGCACCTTTTTACTTTGCAGAGCCTTCCCAGTGGCTTTTCCAGCTTCAGCCCCACGCTGACTCTCCCCTTGCTGGGAGCACCTCCCTGCCACCCCCCAGCACACTGCTCCTCGCCCTTCCTGGATGGCCCACCCTGTGCTGTGTCTTGGTGGCAGGACACACAGCAGCACTGGCATCATCACTGAGCAGACTGCAGGGGAAGGGCTGCCTCAAACACCAGCCTCACTGCCCGAGAGCCCCACTTGTAACCTTTGATTGGGTCATAAACTTATACCTCTGCCCCACCCTAAGGCCCTGTGCTAGGGCTCAGCACTTGTCTAAGGGGTATCAGCCCCATTTTAGATGAAGAAATGGGTAAGGTACCCAACAAATCTTGCTAAAGACCCTAAAGGTCTGACCCCAAGGCCCCTCCTCAACTCAAAACCTGTGTACCCCAGCCCAACCTGACAGGGACTGTGGGGTTACTCAGGCCCCCTATGCCATTCTCGGCAGTGCCCACTGGGCCCCAACACGGGGTGGGCACCCGCTTTCACAGCTTCCAGCTCACCATGGATGGGGAAGCAGAAGCCTGGGCTGGCATGAGGGGAGCCCGACATCAGAGCCTTGACAGGCCAGACAGCCACAGCAGTGGCCCCAACGCGGGCTCAGGAAAAGGCAGGGCCGGGTGTGGGCATGCACTGAACAGCCCCTGTGGCCTGTTCGGCTGTGGCCCGTTGGCTCAGGAGCCCCCCAGGAAGGAGGCCTGTCCGTTACAGCGCATGCCGGTGCAGGCCTGCGGAGAGCGGACATTTTCTAACTCTCAGCCGAGTGGCTGACAACAGCGTGGCTTTCCCAAAAGTCAAGCACATGAGGGCCTGAAGCCAGGCTGGAGGGGCAACGAGGCTCCAGGTGGCCCCCTAGGGGCGCCCTCATTGCCAGCAGTGCCAAAGGCCTGCGTGTCCCTGGCTGTTGCTTAGCCCACAATGTGTTTGGGAAAAAGAGAGCAAATGCCAACTGTTTCTGAAGAAGTCTCAGGAATTTAAAGCAATTAGCTCCCCAAAATGCCCTATTGCGGCACTGCCACCAGTACAGAGACAGACATTCTGGGGAAAAATGTGTTGCCCCTGTCCTCACACTCACCCTCAGGACAGAAGGGAAACAAGCGCATCTAAAAACTTGCTCCGATCCTCCGCTTTCAGTTCAATTACTGCAGTAATGAAAGAAAAACATCTAGTGAGACGGGAGGAGTCGGGACGGGAGTGAGGGAGAAGTGAGAAAAACAAGTCAGAGCACATTAACTTCCTCTTCCCACCATCCAGGACTGGAACCCTCCAGCACATTCCAAAATGGACTTGGCTCCTTGGTGGCCTGGAATATTCTGGACTAAGAGGTTATACTTCTCCATCCCTCTGTACTTAATCTCTAGAAACTTCCAGCTGTCCTGTTGGTGAGGCTGGGGTTGTGGTCTGTAGCGAGGACCCCCAGGCAGCCAGGGAACTAGCACTGCCAGGCAAAGGAAGGAACACAGGGGATGTGATGGCGTAGAGCACCACAGCCCTGGGCTGAGACGGGCCAGCCCACCCTGCCGACAGAGGGCTGCCCCACACTGGGCTGCAGGAGGCCCTGAGGTCTGTCAGGCAGGAGGCGGGCATTCCATCTGCTCTGGTCAGTCCCTCAGCTTCAGCGTCCTCTTCTGTGAAAGGCAGACGTGATGCAAATCGCCTCCATCTCCGGGGGACCATCAGGCTCAGACAAACACATGGCACACACCCCACACCCCCCCCTCTAGACGGCAAAGCGAGCTGGCCTAGCCCTGACAGCTGTCTGTGCCGTGGGCCACAGCTCTAGAAGGGCCAGGCCCCGCTCGCCCGGGCAGTACTAGTCATGGCTCCCTTAGCCTGCCACCCGCCATCTCCAGCCACAAGGGAAGCCAAGCAGCTGCTGCCCACAGACCCTCCCCAAGTGGGCCCAGGACATCCTGCAGGTCAGCTAGCACCAACCTCTCCCACCTCCTGGACAGGAAAGTGAAAACACCCAACACAGCTGCAGCCCGAGTGGGCCCGGTGTGAAAAGCCGGCTCTCGACACTGAGGCAACCGGGACAAAGGCTGGGTCCTGATTGCCGTGATCGTCAGGTGAAGCCTTCTGTCCTCATTCCTTCTAAGGGAATTTCTCATTCTCTTCTAGCACACCCGTGACGTGAGTGTTGGTGCACTTGATACTGTCCCAGAGGCCCC